GCCATATGCCCAACTTGGATTCGGATACATTTTGTGCTAATTGCCTTGAAATAGTGACTTTTATACATTCCAGAAATTGGAGCACTCAAATCACTGAAGCCAGATTCTAGTCCAAGAGAGGATGAAATCCCTGCCATATTCCTGAAGTGGGCTGCGGGTCTGTCATATCCCCTAAACAATCTTCTTAGCTTAGGCAAAACAAACTTCCAAGGGAATGAAAGAATGCAATTATAGTGCCTATTTACAAGAAATGCAACAAAAGCCTGCCTAAAAACTATAGGCCCGTTAGTTTAACAAGCACCCATTGAAAATGCATGGAGAAAGTCCTGGTATCTGACTGGATTTTTCCTCGGAAATGGAATCATCTCACCTTCCCAACACAGGTTCCTTCCTGAGCTTTATAGTGTTTTAGTCTTAAGTAATATGAGCCTTGAGCACCTTCGAGGTCTTCAAGACACAGCATTGTGTCCTCAAATTATTCGACGTTTTTTAAATTTTCAGAGACCTCAAGCCTTTAATCACCAATGTGCTTAAGATCCACATTCTGAAAAAAGTCACGAGCTCTTGAAGTTTTTATAGTTATTAATGATACAAGTTCGATATGAACGCCATAATGAAACGCGTGTAACGTTAAACCACGAGGCGTTAGCCGAGTGGTTTAGTTACACAAGTTTCATTAATAAAGTTCATATCGAAAGTGTATCATTCAAAATTTAATCTACAATGGTTCAAATAGATTTGATTTGCCTTGAAATAGCAAAAACTTTTCAAATTAAAATTTGAAATTTAGCAGGTGCCCGTACAAATCGAGAACCTGCTTGTTGGTTTTTAGAATTTTGACTTTGGCAGCTTCAATATTGGAGTCCATTTTTGAGCCATAAATTCAATTTTATGGTGGAAAATAATATTATTATTGGTGAATCTGAGTTCGAAAGTGTCTCTTCGAATATAGAGACAGCATTATTGAAAAGGTTCTTCTGGCAACTAACTTTCTTTTTGTATATTTTTCATTTCAAAATTTGGGTGTTATTATGAATTTTTAAACGCACTAGTGCTATTATGAAGGACCTAATGACATTCAAATGACAATGCTAAATGTGTCATAATGACACCGACGTAGATTAAGTCTTTAAGAGTCCAGTCCTAATTTATGTGGATCGATAAACCTACTGACGAATTACACTTATTGAATAATTATACAGATATTCCGAGTAACTAATCGAATATTCTGAATAAGTGTAATTTTCGAAAAACTACCCATATGAATCGGGAAGATCTTTCCTAAAAGAACAAAAGGTACGATGGACGTTTTTTAAAACTCAGTTTAACGTCGAAAGGTCCGAAATATGTTCGCAAAACGTCCATAAACCTAAAGCTCTAAAAAATATTCACAACAATTGTAGGACATTTTTAAAACCAAAATCAGCAACGGTCTAATAACCGTTCTTCTAATGTCCATCTAGGGTATGAAAGGAACGTTTTTTAGACGTTTTATTCAAGTTGTTTTAAAAACCTCGGCTAGAAATCATTGAAGAACGTTTTGTATAGGATCGTAGAAGTATGTGTCTATCAGAAAAATCATCAGACTTTTTTTGCAAATCGTTTTTAAAACCATTATTGAAAACCTACAAAAAACGATTCTTCCAGGTACTCGAAAGTATGTTTTAAGGCGTTTTTGAAACGTTCGCTTTCGACGTGTGAAGTTGTGACATTTGCACTTTAAAAAAACGTCCGTTCTTGGATGCCTTTATAGTGAGGTCTGATATGACTTTTCGTTTTTAAGTCGTGCTAAAATTGTAAAATAAGTTGTAATATACAGGGTCTTATAAGTCACAGTCCAAACTGAAAGGGGTGATAGAGAAGGTCATTGCCGACAAAAAAAAACCTTATGTGTTACTATACAAAAGCTTTTATAAGTACCTATGTGAGGTTTTGTCTTTTTGCTAAAGAACTTGTAGGGAGTTTTTCTCTCTTATTTTTGTTTCAATTCAATTCACAGCAAAGGTTCAAATAATAATTTAGAAAGCAAAGATGAAAAAAGGTAACCCATATGTGTTAAAACTACTCTGATATCCTTATTCAATTAAGGGCACATTAGTCTGAAAATCTCTAATACTTTTTTTCTACTCTACTTGCAAATTTCTTTTCTTAACCAATGTAACCATGTTTGATAAAATCAATAAAATCATAGAGTTTTTCTTATTGGCAATGACCTCCTCTATCACCCCTTTCAGTTTGGACCGTGACTTATGGGACCCCCTGTATAGTAAAGGACTATATTAAACCATATTGACTGGTTGGCACTCTCAAAATTCGTAGGTATATTTTTTCAGGGGGTTAAAAAATGGTAAACTTGACAGGTTTCGGAAATGCTAGAAATTTAAATAAAAGTGATAATTGGCATTAAAAATTATATAACTACATACCTAAGTTTTATAAAAAAAGTCTTGAAATTTATAAAAGTAAAGTTTTAGTAAAACAATCAGTAGTAAAAGTAGCTACAGGGTGTCCCAAGATAAGCATACAAGCAAATTCCTCAAAAACCGATTTTCTCACGTAAATAGTAAATAGAGTATTATGCCCATATTATGCCTAATCTAGAGCTATCTTTTACATAACAATTATTATATAGGGTGTCCCTGAAATCATCATCAAATTTATCTTGAGAATATAGATCTATTTCCCATCGTGCTGGAGGTTTGTGGAGGACATTGTGCTAAGCAGAGCAGGAAGGATTAGAAAGACCTTACAGAATTATGGTCCCATGCCTTTTTGGTCAAGCTGTCAGAGAGAGCTATCAATTCCAGGATCCCCCAGGAATCTGATGACATGGAAATGATTCCTGAAGAACAATTTGAACTTAGAGCAGGTCGCATTCGACCAAGCTATAGGCGCTCAGACTCTCAGACTAGCCGACCATACCACAAATGAATTTAGTTGGAATAAGACACCTATAGGCCCGTATTCTCGTAACCAGGGAACAGCGTTCTCTCAAGAGAACGATTGCCCTGTCTTTGTCAGTATTATGGAAATAACAATATGGATGACTAAGACGGAGCAATAGTTCTCTTGAGGGAACGCTCTTCCCCGGTGACGAGAATACGGGCCCTGTAGTTTTGTTAAATGTCGAACCACAGATTCTGGCATAACTGGTTAGTTCACAAGTAGATTCAAGGCGGCTATCAAGAAATGACTTGCTAACTGGATCAAAATTATCTGACAGCAAGAATCTTTGGCGTAAAGATTCGCAAACATCGCCCAAGAACTAGAGAACTGAAAGCCGGAGTTCCACGAGGGTCGGTGCTCTCGCCACACTATGATTGCCACAATCCGAAGACACAGGACGTGAATATTGCATTTTTGTAGCTGATTCAGCAGTTCTAAAGGGGTTAGAGAGAAACTCCATAGGGAGAAATGAGCTTGATCCCAGAATTGTGCATCAACATCAATAATCCTAACTATAGGACCCAAGTCATCCGTTTTCAGAGAACATCAATCTATTTTCGTTTTTAGTACTCTTCCGATCCATCAACTAGTCGACCCATGGTTGCACCTTAATTTCGGCTATTTTCACGTGGGATTTTCACATCAACTTGTTATGCGTGATCAGTCCTGGGTCCTAGATCCCCTTATTCGATGTTGATATGATCCAATAGCCAAGAATTACTGAAAGTGACTTGAGGCTGTGGAAAACATTCAGCTCGAAAGGGTCGTTAACGCAACCTGGTTTTTATAGAGATACTTGCGATGGGAATCTCAAGAAGACTTTATGCGAAGAAAAGCAAAAAATAACTTCTTGAGGGTGGCCACACATTGGAATTTGGTTCTGGAAGTTACTACGACTTTGCAGAAAACATGCCTTAGATCACTTAAACTATCGTTATGGCCGCAAATAAAAATTACGAAAGCAGGGGGGGATGTCGAATAACCTGGTGGAATGTTTCGGCCGGCGTTTTTGTGAGTTTGCTCCTGCAAAAGTCGCTGCTTATTTTCCTTAAATTTAGGGAAATTTGTATGGTATTATGGGTTTCAAAACTGGGGGCAAATCTAACAATTAATTAATGCACAAAAAGGTGGCTGAGGTACTCCAATAACCAAAATCGAGCAACTGGAGCTTCGTTTTTAGGGGGTCCGACTAACTCTCAATAGCGGAGAGTGGTGTGGGTAAACTCAAAAGGCGCCACCTGTTTTCCTTCCCTACAGTCAAACCAAGCTACCGAATATAAACTAAAAACAGGAAACACTCAATCCTAATCGGAGGTACTGCAAAAACCTAAATATGCATAAAATTAAATAAAATGAAAGCGCTTAAAAATTCACTCCGGTGCATGTTTTTTATTTGCCCAAAATAGTTATTTATAATTGTTTATTGTAAATGGCAGCAAACAGCTGATAAGCACCAAAATTTAATTGTTTATTCAATAGCTTTTAAAAATAATAAAGAATCTATCAGTAAACTTAAATTACTGTGATAAAATTGGCCATAATTAGAACGCATAACCAATATAAAAACTAAAATTAGTAAGTACTTACTACTTAGTTAAAGTAGTTAGGTGAATTAAATGTGTAATCTACAATATTCCAACCAAAAGGGTGGTATTTGAAGTGTCCAAACCTTACCTTACATTCTGGTTCATTATGGTGATCAAAAGTTATAATTAATTTCCTAAAGTAAATACATTCATTAAGTTCAAATAAATGAAGGGTGATAATTAAGTACGGTTCGCACCCCTTGAATCAATACCAAAATACTAAAAATACCGTCGTAAATGGATCCATTTTAACCTGGTGTACAGATCCACTAATTGCGGATAGTGAGCGTTAGATGTATGTGTTTACACTAATTTGGACTGTTTAGAATGTTCCAGGAAATCAAAATAGTATGGTAAGTGAACGTAAAATTAACTTAACTTAAACTTAAACGATTATAAGGTAATTTTTAAGACAGGTACAGCTAATTCAGCTGGCTATAATATTGAAGAGTAGGTACAAGTGGTTGCAGGTAAAAGGTTCCAACTCCCAAGGAGATGGTGAAACCCTTAATACAGACGGTGTGGATGGTTCCCAAAACGGCACAACAATACGCAAACCTGATTATGTAGTTAGTTGATGGAATGATACTACTAGGAACCTCGTGGGGGACGATTGAGATTCACAGGCCCCAAAAGCTCCACAAGCAATCTATCAGGTTCAGGATTGAGCATCAGCAATTCAGCAATCAGGTGCCTTTGTGCATCTAACGACAGCAACAGCAGAAAGGGATGTAACGTTACCCAATATAAGAAAAGGCCAATGTGGATTGGCCTTTTCGACACTCAACACGTGACACGAATCAATCTTATTTTCTAGAATTTGGGTTTTTACGTACTGGAATCTTCATTAATTAGCAAATACTTGCTGTGGTGCTATTTAAAAATAATAGCCACTGTTTAAGACTCAATTTACTTCCCAAATATTCACTTAAATTGGCAAAATGCCTCAGAAGAAAGCTATAAACGTGCTTCTCTTCTGCGTGATTCTAGAAAAAGAAAAATTCCACAGTAAAATTTCTGGTTACACGAATCGAGTTCTAGGGAATTTTTGGACAGTTCGAATTAATGCCTATTGCGCATGCAATACTCAATATTCAAATTCTCGTGCCACATTTGACTTTAGTGTATTGTCTGATTTAAACAATTTCCTAACCCTACTAATATTTGTTTACATTTTCCCATTCTAATCCTATCTTATTTTAGGCTGGAAACCTGATGTTTTCAAAGTTGCACAATGGAAACCTCTACAAAAATATGGAAAACAAATGCTGATTTACCTGATTCCTAGAACAGAACACAGAACAGAGAACAAAATAGTGAAAACTCAAAAAGATGGTAATTATTTTGTTCTATATACGATCATATCCTATCCAGTGACGAACTGGCCCGGCGGGCTGGCGGGCTGGCGGGCGGAGCCCGCCGTGCCCTTAAGATTTAGCGCCCCATCGGCATCGTTCAGTTATAAAATTTAAATAATATCGAAATAAGGTTTAAAAATATTTTTCAATAAATTCGGAATATCGATTATTTATTATTGCAGTGCTCTCATATTGATAAAAATTCAGAATTTCTATTAAAGTTTTATATTAAATTCTGAGACTTTTACCACGCCCGATAGAGAGCGTCTCTGTAAATTAGGTTAGGTTTGTATTCCAACCGTCACGCTATTCTTGTGCCGAGAGCCTTCCGCCCGACAACCACCATTTTGCTTGAGCCTTGAGCTTTTCTCGTGTATTTCTTCCAGTGAAGATTAGAATAGATTACTAGTGCAACAGTTTGCAAAAACTGTATTTATTGCAGTTACAGGCTAACAATCAAATTCATTCTTAGAACCAGTTTGACACAGTCAAAGTGCACTTAGATGAGTACTTGGATCAAGTTGGAAGCAAGCTTACTTACTTGGATGAACAGTTGGTACCATCCAAGTATCGTCAAAGTGAGGCGCGCGCAGCGTCCAAGGGTACTTGATCCACGTACACTTTGACCGTGTGAACCTTCACGCATATGCTTATCTAATACTTTCGAAAGCTTACAAATATTTGTCGACTATCAGTTGCGCAAATTAGTTGTAATTGAAGCTCAAGAAGCTGAAGTATATTTAAATAAATTACGAAGTAACCTAAATCACAACAACCTGGAAGTGGTTTAAAAAATTTACTCATGTCATTAGACAATAACGCAATTATCAATAATGTAGCTAAAACTAGCGTAAACCTCAATAAAATATTGATTTTTTTCTTGGGAAACAAATAACGGTGTAGTAATTCATTCTTGTCGATAACGTAATTAGCCTAACTTCCAATTAGCGGGTAAAGGGTCACTTGAGCCTGGGAACTTTTTTCGATAGATGAGAAAATCGGCGGATTTTGATGGTTTTTTGCTGGTTTTCACTGGTTTTAGGCTGGCTTAGCTGTTTTATTCACTGTTTGCTGGTATAGCCGGTTTTGTGCTGAGTTTTACAAAACCAGCTAAACCAACATAAAACCAGTGGAAAGCAATGAAAATCAGCACAAAACCAGTGAAAACTAGCACATAACTAGCTAAAGCAGCATAAAACCAGTACAAAACCACCAAAATCCGCCAATTTTCCCACGCTATCGAAAAAGTTCCCAGGTTCAAGTGAGCCTATATCTACTTTAACTTTTTCTTGGTGATGGCGCCCCTTGTAGGAAATTGCCCGCCGTAAGTTCAGAGCCCAGTCCATCGCTGATCCTATCTCAAATCAATCTTATTTTCAGAGATCGCTAGAAGCTGTGGATATCTTCATGGAGAATAATTATTGTAATTGTTATGTGAAATATATATTAAAGATTTTATACTAGTAGGTTCCTTTTTTTTCAGTGCCAGGCAAAATCAGGCAATGACAGAGTAGTAAAAGACCAAAGGCAGCAGCAATATGTCCTAACTTGATTGACTGAAAATTCGACACGTAACAGAGGTGATACGCTTTGTAATCTGAAATATGTTTTTCCAATAATTTGCAGGAACGGGAACATTATTTCTCGAGCCTTGGCTCGAACTCAGATAACGCTTTGTGTAGGATTCTTTCTTGGAAGGAAGCTTTGACGTCGAACTGCAAAAAAATGTGTGTGGTCTCAAATACTTTCATATACCGGGTGATTCAAATTAGCCTTTCACCAGTGACATCTCGCAAATTATGGAAAATTCATTTGATCCTAAAGCAACATATGAAAAACAATAGGTAGGTATTAAAAAAAAACAATTTTTCTGTTGCAAAAATTTACTGATAAGTATGTGAAGATTTGTTAGTTTCTAAATAATTTAAATGACGTGAAAAGTAAAACAAGAAAAAAAAAACCAAAAAAGTATTAAAACCGTACCCTCAAAATACTTAACTCAATATTTCCCAAAAAACTGAAAATCCGAAGTGACAACAAGTAAAAAGTCCTTACTATGAACATAACCTATAACATAAAAAAGAAACGTCTTTTTTAAAGCGATAGTATCAAGGCCTTACTAAAACGTTAATTTTCGACGTGTCTACATGACGTATGAAGTTGTGATATTCGCACTAGAGAAAAACGTCTATCGGAAGTTCTCAGTTACTTCAATTAGGATGTTTTTCAAACGTTTCTGTGCTATTGCTAAATACCTTGAAGTGTCGCAAGGCTCATGAATCAAAACTTAAGACTCTACCAAATAGAACATCAAATAATGAAGACTTTGAAGACTGCTTTTGATAATACCACACTTGCAAAATCCTGATTCCCATCAGGACTGAGAACTATTAAAGTGTAGGTAAAAGACTTCAAGAGTCAAGAAAGCTCATGACTTAATACTGTTAAGCTCTTGGAGAAGCATCATTGAAGATGATGATGAAGACTCACCTTTTAAGATTTTAGAATGAAGACCCACACAATTTAAGTTTTAAAGTTAAAGGTTTTGAAGAAGTAGGGTATAAATTAGGTAAGATTTCTCAAACTCACGATTTGAAGGCCTTTGGAGAAATCGAAGAACCTCATATTTTAAGATCATAGAATGAAGATTTCATCGATCTAACTTAGCATATTAAGATTGTAAAAACGCCGAAACGTTCTAACCAAGACTGATGATCATTTAATACTAAAGCCAAAACTGATTTTCTAATAATAAGCATGTTTTAATTATTGATTTGAACCAATCAGATTGTGATTACGTGATAATCATGCACAAGTGCACGATTATCGTAGCCCATGCAGTAACAGGTATTTTTTGGATTCATAAATTTTCTCATAAAATAGAACTTGTGTAATGGAAATATAGCTTATTATTGAATAAGAAGGGTGGGTTTTGTATTAAACGTTTCATGGTAAATTAGGTCTTTACCAAAACCCTTGGTGCGCAGGTAAACAATGCTGAGATTTTGAGTAAACTGTGAAGTATATTATGGGGAGTCATAAACGTTATTATTAGCATAATTTACCTACCTAACTTATGCTATATATATGGTACCTTTATGCCAATGTAATGAAAAAGGTTTATTGGGATTTTGAGATTCCTAGATTTTAATAGGTAAGCCATTTTTTGGTATTTCTCGACCCAAAAAATTACAAGAAATCTAAACGCTCCAATAATTTTTGTAATTCTTGTGACTGAACCATTGAATTCAAAGAACCTAATTTCCTGACCATAATTCGATATGTTTTTAGTCTTCACTGTTGAATTTTTGAAATTTTGAGTTTTATTTTGCCATTAGAGTCTAGTTTCTATCATGAAAAATTGGTCATTACCTAGACTTTTTTAGAATCTTCAGTGTGTGTCTTTAAAATAAACTTTTAATTTCTTAAAATCTTTGGAGTCTTTCTCTTCTGTCCTAAATCAAAATTCTCACAATCTTCGAATCGTTTCAGTGTCTTCCGAATCCATAGAGAATTTAGTCTCGAGTCTTATTAGCAGAATCTTTACAGGCCTCAGAATATGTCTTTAAAATCTTTGGAATCTCGGCGTTCAGGATATTCATAGCGTTAAAAAGGTATCTACCTTGAATTATTGATTCAAGCATATAGATCAAGTCTGAAGACTGAGAAGACTCTACAAAGACATCATCAAATAGTGAAGAATTTGAAGACTGCTGATCTTTCTATTACCTAGGTATCTCTGTCAGTCTATCCCTATATCTCCCATCTGTCTTGATTTTCATTAAGAATTAGAGCAAAAATTTAGACCTTTCAAGCTTTTGAGTTGAACGTCTTTGGAGAAATCGTAGCAGCTCGTTTTTTGAGATGATTGCGAAGAAACTATCAATCTGACCGAAACCAAAAAATTTAAAAATGCAGCTTCTCTATTTTTCATTAAAGTATCCGAAATGCTTTATGCAATTAAACTCATGACCATAAGACTAAAAGACTCCAAAAGTTCTTAAGATGCAGAATTAGGAACTTTGATTGTTTTAATTAAAATTTCTAAACGATAATAGATTTCCATTTTGCAATAATTTTTGATACCTACATAACAATAAAATAAAAGTTGAAAATTCGCAAATGGATTTACAATAACATTTGTGAAAAAAAAATGACAAAAAAGTAGGTATGATCGCTTAAATTCACCAAAAAGGCTCCTGAAATTCTGAAACTCTATGACTAATAGTTTCTCAAAGCTCACAAACACATTTAACTGTGATGGCGAATGGCGAGTAGTCGAGTTTCGATATGAAATAAAAGACCGTAAAATCGTAAAATAGAAGCTGAAAAATTCCGTGCCACGGGTACTAGCCTAGGATTAGGGACGAAACAGGTCCGTACAGCGTTGTCACAGTTATTTCCCTAATAAATTATAATTTAATGTAATCAGGAACCCATGAATAATTTTTAATAAGAGTAGAATCAACGTAGGTATGTGACTCAAAAAACAAACACATAATTATTTGGCATACCATTTTTACTCAAGTACGCCTAATAAAAATGGCATTTTTAATATACCCTCGGTTTTCAAAGGCGGGCGGGGTACACCTAGGCTAGGGACTCCGCAAAAATTAGAGATTTGTCATCGTTGATTTATGTTGGAGTCGAGACTGATTTGAAAACGAAAACAATTCTGTGCCTATTCGGTTCAATTGGTGTTGTGTAAATATCTTGCATCTTGATTATATTATATTTATGAGTTCGCATATCACAATAAACAATTTTAGTGCTGAAAAAGTGCCAAAAATGTCGGGAATAGTAAGAATAGAAAAACGAGTGAAACGACGATATCGCATCGAAGAAAAATTGGCCGCTATTCACAGGGTGAAAATAAATGGGGAAAGTCAAGCTTCTGTATGCAGGCAATTGGGTATTGCTCGATCAACTTTGAAATGTTGGATAAGTGATGAAGGAAAACTTATTTCTTCCAAAAATAATCTTCCATCTTTTGCCAAGCGATCAAGTTTGGTAATTCCAACGCAAACATTCAGTGGCAATACTGACATGCTACCACCCATAACACTTGCTTTTCCGGATTACATACAAAACCTCAACAGACCCCAAGAAGAGCCCTTAGACTTGAGCCTCAAGGGCCATAGAAGCTACGATTTTACTTCGACCAATCAAAAAGCAGACGAAGATGAAGTTACCTCAAATAATGAAAATGAAGGCAGGTTGATCATTGACGAGTCCAATGATGGGATGATTGAAGATGATGGCCTGAAACATGGAGAAAAATTCTTGCACTGGCTCTCACAGTGCAGTCTACCCTGCGTATCGTTTCTACAAGTTTTCGAGGTAAATGAAATTATCCAGAATATCAAAAAAAGCCGGTCAAATGCTCTAAATTTCAACTAATGAATTTATGTTGTGACTTTGTTTTGCATTTCATGTAGGTATTTATCTACTTTAGGTTTCTTTATTTTATTCAAGTTTTTTTAGATAGAAAATGATTGTTTTTTTTTTAATCAAATTTTCCAAATGAAATGCGAAATGAGTTAATATAAAAGTACTTAGGTATGTGATTAATAATTTTGTGTTGATTTGATTTAAAAATCGTTTTGGGAATGAACTCTTATGTTATTTATTTTTAGTGTTTTTCTTCTTTTTATATTTTATTTTTGTCCTTAAAATTGTTTTTTGGAATGAACTCTTGTGTTATTTATTTGTAACGTTATACCTATTTTTTCATGTCCTTATTGTGTATTGGATTGAATAATGATTATTCTGTTTTTTTTTCTTTATGTTTAAATTATTTTGTTTTGTGGAACGAACTCTTTGTGTTATTTATTTGTATCGTTATGACGTTATGCCTACTATTTTTGTTCATGTCCATATTGTGAATTGGCTTGAATAATGATTATTATGTTTAAATTGTTGTAATATTACTATCAATATTTCGAATCTGTATCGTAGAATAGTTGCTAACAAATAATAAAGTTTTTTTGGAAAAAATTAAAATTTTGTCACCTGTTTTTTTTATTATTATTAAAATTAGGAGGTTTAAGTCTGTCGATTTTAATCTGATACTCGAAAGGAATGTGAGCTGGTGGCACCCTACATTAGAACGCCAATGGTCACCTGACGTCACACCTGTTTTTATTGCCATATACTTCACCCCCTCGCTCCTCCATGCGGAAAGTGTCAGATAAAAGTCGACGAACAATATTTTTTCTAATTTTGACATTTAAAGTGACACTTTTCAAAACTCGTTGACGTTATCAAATGCTTTACTTTTCATTACCAGTTACGAAAAGTAAAATTTTTCGCAACTGGTGATGAAAAGTAAATTTCATAACATAGTTTTTTGTCTAGCATTAATTAATTGAATATATTGAATGTTTTTGCTATAGAAGTCTCTTTAAGGAAGTTGGTGACAATTTTCTGTTTATTAATAGTTATTGAATTTTCCACATCCCCCTTAGCGGCTGTATAAGACTTACACCACCCATGCTATTCAATTCCCGCAGAAATCTGCTCGTTACGAAAAATAGTGCTTTTCCCAACTGGTTGCACAAATAACTATTTCAGGACCAGCGTGAAGCTACCCTTGATTTTGGGATACTTGCTATCCGCACCAAAACAATTTTCATTTTTTTAAATTAACCTTTAGTGGAACTGTAGTTTGGAATTGAAGAGCATGCTAATATTATTATTATTTTAAATTCATCATCATCAAACAGCCTCTTTTCACGTCCATTGTTGAACATAGGCTCTAAAATTTTCCAGTTGTCTGGTTGTCTCTGTTCAGCACAGTTTGTCTGTCCAGCGAGTGGGGAGTCTTCCTCAGTTCCGTTTGTCG